AGCTCTACTGAGAATTGTAAAAGTTCCTTTGAAAGCTATAAATAAATAGAGGAAAGAAAAGACTACTGACATTACAGCAGGACTTAAATTAACCGAAACCATTACATATCAATGCAAATGCATGTAACCTTTAAACTGAAAAAAACCTAATTCAGAACATAGAGCATATAGCATATATGTTCTATGAACTTGATACAGTTTCCTGGCACCACCAGGAATTTTACTATGGGCCAGTGGAATTCACATTTATTGTACATTAAATTCATTTTCATAGGCTAAATATCACATAAGTCAGTTAGGAAGAAAGAAACTCTGATAGGGATCATTGACACTGAGGGTGAAAGAGATTAGTAGCCATTTTGGATTTTTATGCAGTGTCTCCCTCTATCATATCTCTAAAAGATCCAAATGCCTGAGGTCAAATCAAAGTATTAGACAGGGAATAATCAACATGTTCCAATAATGCACTGGAACTGCAATAACTTGTCTGGGAAATGCATACAAACAGACAAGTTTTCTTCCTAGCCAAAAATAACCCACATTATTTGACAAGTTCTCTGCCTGGTTTTGCCTGTGGTCCAAGTTTGAATCACTGTAGACACACATTAAACAAACTTTTTATCCTGGAAGCCTTCTCTGCTAGCAATGATGGCTGCCAACCAAGTCACAAGTTTTCCTAATATTTTTTAATACACCTGTAGTGAAACATTTTTCTAACAATTTTAACTATTTATAACAAATCAGTAGCTTTTATGTTCAGCTTTAGGTTTCAACCACTGTATTTAAGCTATCTGTTGTCACAGTTAAATATGCTAAACATTTTAAAAGTCATAGTGAAAGTACACAGCTTTTATCACAAATTAAACTGTCATGGAATGCTACTACTATATACAAATGCTTCTCATTTGTATTTACACTACTTAAATAAAGTATTGTAAATACAAATGAGAAGCTAACAGGGAACTGGTAGGTAGTATTAACGTGGTGCATCCAGTATTTATTACTAATCCTGATAAAAATAATCTTAATATTCTAAAAACATTGTTATAAATTACTTTGGAAAATAGTAAGAAAAAAGAGAAACATAGAAGTGGATCCCTTTTGTTGGAATAATGCTGCTACAATCATTTTGTTAATCCACCGTCCTAGCAGTATAAAATCTAATGAGTAGTATGTCACTAATATGCAAAGTATTATGCAAATTATATTCAAATCACAATGACTGATAGCAGGTCAAAGCAGCATGCATTAATATTCTCCTAGTTGTACTACAATTACTGTAAAGTACTCCCTGCACACCACCAAGACAATTTTCTACACATACATTAAACGACATCAAATTTTTTTCATGTTCTTTATTTCAGTCACAATGACAAGAAATCTACCCACTACTTCAGCATTTTTCCTTTCAGCAATACAGACATACAGAATATTCCCAGTTAAAAAGCACTAACCCTTCCAGCACACCAGTTTCCAAATGCCACTATCACATTACCCAGAGGATATACATTTTAATGCCACTCTTAACATGTCTCCGTCCCAGAGAGCCAGGATTTCACAGCAGGCTAACTACACAGGAGTATAACTGTTTGTTTCATTTTGCCTTTCAAACCACATTGCCTGTGATAAAATTAAGATATCATTACATGTAACAATGCACAGTCACCTGTGAAGAGTAACACAAGAACCAAGGATTTAGCAAAGTGTGGCAAAGACCACATTCTCCCAGCAAAGTCACTGCTCTTTAGCAACCACCTCACACCACTTTGGGAGAGCACTTATACATAAAAACTGACATTATGTATGGAAAACTCATCTTAAACCAGGAAATCAGCATCATGTAACAAAAACAGCACAAAGAAAAATAAAAATTATAATAATGGAGGACTGCACACAACTTTGAGGAAATCTCAAATATTTTCCCAATGTAGCACAAAGTGATGTATACTGACACTAAGGTAGCGCTGCTGTTCACTAAGCAGAGATCTCCAAGTTCCAGTGCTATAAACCAAACCCCTTTCACCAAGTCACTTTTCTCTTCTTATCTTGTTCCAATTCTTGTAAGTATCATCCATTTTCATTCTCAAATAGAAGGGTAAAAAGAGAAACCACTCCTTACTTCTTTCAGCACAACCTAGGTCATCATATGAATCATCAGCCACAATCCCTTCCTTCAGATTATTACCTTTCATGTTATTTTAAGAGTCTGCATAGGTTAAATATCATATAATTTGGAGTCAGATTACTGTATTTTGAATAGATCCTGTTTTGGAAGGATTTAATCTTTGGGGAAGTGTTCAATGGTTCACTTTTTCTGGTAAGAAAATCCTTGGTACAGAACAAAAGCCATCCTTGAAATCCCAATAGACTGTGGCATAGACAATGCTACATGACTACTTTTTTATTTAAAATAAATCCATGTTCTATTTAAAATTTCGGTATGTTATTTTATAGAAGTGCAATAATCCAGGAAAAATATTATTTTACTTGGTTTTAATATAACAACTTTTTTGAAAGTTGGGGTAACTCTTGCAGGTTATCTCCTCAAGCATATGCCAAGAGAATTGATTTGGTATCAGTTGCGACTAAAAAATCACACCATCTATAGACAAGCTACTCAATTCCTCAGCTGCAGGTTATGTCTGTTCTATGATGATCCCTGTAGTCTTGTAGCAAATCAGTCTCCTAAGTGTGTGTTCTCTCTATTCTACCACAACTTCAGCAGTTTTACAATCCGGTTTACAGCTTTATAATGTAGCAATGCTACTCCTGGGTCTTCTGCACATACATGCACTGAACAGATTCCTTGGCCATTCCTAACATTAATGTTAGATTCAACAGGGTAACAAGACACATTAGAATGAGTTAATATTTGCACAACCCTTAGGCTTATATTTTTAACATCTGCACAATGGTTAAGTACATATGGAAGTGCTGTGTGCTGTTATGCACAGGTGGTTTCTCCAACTGAACTGAAGCAGACAGACAACAGAACTCACTGAACTGTTGGCAAAAGGAGCTGCCCTTTGCTGTGTTCTCTCTCCTTCTGGCCTCTCTCTCCCAGCCGTGCATAATAACTCCATCATAACTTTGTTTTCCAATTAAAATTCCATTAAAAATGAAGAAAATATAACTAAAGAAAAATATTCGCTGGTAGACCAGTGAATGTCATTCACCGCAACTTTAGGAACGCCTTCAACGTTGTTTACCACGGTGTTCCTTTACAAATATTAGGACTCTACACTCTGGAGGGGTGGACATACAGAGGTGTAAAGGATTGCTGAGATGATAGCCCTCTGACAGTAATGGCCAATGGGTCATGCTTTGTCTGCAGGCCAGTGGGAAGTGATTTAGGACCTGTCCTGCTGACCCCCTTTATAGGGACTTGGAGGATGTACTGGCATGCACTCTCTTTGGGTCTGCAGGTGCCACCAAGGTGCAGGGCCAGCTGATATGCTGAGGGTAGGCCTGCCATCCAGTGAGACCCAGGTGGGCTGGAGAAATTGGCTGACAGGTGAGTCAAGGATCTTCACATCCAAAGAGGAGAAATGCAAAGCACTTTTCCTGGGAAAGAAGAACCCTTGCAGCCACCCAGGCTGGGGAGGCTGACGACCTAAGGACTCTTCCAACCTGAATTACCTATAACACTATGATCCTAAGAGCCATAAACTTTCTTCAAAATAGGAATTATATAATTTTGTCATATCCGACAGAACAGCTGTGATGTTTTTTTAAGTGTACTCTGCACCTAACAATCTGTCTCTCTCTGTCGCACATTACTGCACACACACTTTTCTCAGCCTCTCCATCTTTGCTGTGAAAACATTACCTGAAGGGTACTACCCCCTTCTAAACACCAGTTGTCACAGAAATACAGATCTTTCAAAGAATTTCCATTTCCTCTATCCAAGGATTGTTCAGTACCCCTTCAGCAAGAGATTTCTGAAATCCAGTTCCAGTTATCTGGATTCTCAGCTTATGAGATGTCCTTGTCCTGCAGATAATTCACTATTTAAATTTTCAGAAGTACTGGATACCTGATGCTAGTTTGCATGCTTGAAAAGAAGCAGATCTGTATTTTTGTGTCTCTGAAATTTTTTAATCAAAAGCAAAACTATTTGCATCCTTGTGAACAAGAGATGCAGAAATCTTTGTGTCACATATTATGAATCCTTCCCTTTAAATTAATTTCAGTACAGAAGAGTAGTCTGGAACAGCTATGTTTCCTTTGTCTTGAGCATCAAAGATGTCAGACAGTAAGAAATGGGAGTTCAGTGAATGGACTAGAAGAGTCTGCCTCCATTCTCTAAACTTCCACAGGTTTCCTAAAGGATCTTAGGGGACCCAGTCAGTCTTCCTATACAGAGACACCATCCATAAAACTGGTAGGCATAGTAAGACAAGTAATCACCTTACAGTATAAGGTAAGATGTTTAAACACTCAAATATAATGTTAACAAAGGTAGATCATATATCTACCATCAATATCTAATCTTCCAATTGTGTTATAATACAAATGCTTGACACTGTACAAACATTTCTAAGCATTTTTATCATATCCTAGAGATGTTAAGTAACATTTAGGGGCAAAAACCAAGCAGGTGCCAACAAAATAATGATTATGTAAAGGACATGGCATCTTAATTAAATTATAGAGGTTTTAACAAAACTTGAGGTGAACAAGTCCTTGTACTATTTAAAAGAGACTATCACTCAAATGTCACACTTAAGTTTGTAGTACCATGCTTACACACTCCTGGTGGGTATCTCCTGCAGGAAAAACAAAACCTGTGCTATTTTCTCAAGAGCACATTCTTTGATCACTCATGATTATTTCTCAGGCAGTTATTTCTTATTTGGAGTTGGAAGTGGTAGGGCATGAATTTGTTGGCTGCTAGGCTGTGAAATCTTGTGTGTGACCATATTTCAAGGATGCTTCTCCCAAGTTCCATACAGAATGTCAGATCCTTTAAAGAGATGTCTCCATCCCCACATCTTACTTTTGTTTCTACTGAGCTGTTCCCAGAGGATTAGGAAGTCATTCAGCATAGTTCTCCACCTAGAGAATAAATATAAATATAACCTCAAATCAAAGACCGTAATCATCTCCCAGATATTTTATTAACAAGTGTTTCTTTTTCATAAAAGAACTTTCAAGTATCTGACCTATTTATTTTAGTAAAGAAGAGCTCATCATTTGAGCACTTCACTGTCTGTGAAAGGAAAAACAAACATCCATCAGCTGTTAAGTGCCAGAAACAATCTGATTGGGATGGGGACAGTTGAGTGTCAGAAACAATCTGATTGGGATGGGGATTGATTCCCTCTTTATCATGACCACCTGCAAGATGACGAGAGGATTTTTAAGATTATTTATAGAAAACAGCTTTATTGCTCTTCACAATAAAGCATGTCTTCTCAGCACGAGTAGCTGGGAAGACAGAAAGCCACTTGAGTGTCCCTTCAGAGCCTACTAGGAAGGTTCTATGCAGGCCAGCAAGGCAGACCACATCCAGGGCCTCAGTGAGCAGCAGATTTCAGTGCCTCTGTTCCTCTCTCATGAATTGCAGAGTACTTTGCCTCAAGTTTTTCAAGGCAGGCTATTTTCTCATGTTCTTACAGCACACAGAACGATTAAACCTGAGCCAGAGCTGTGTCTATAAGATGGAATCCAGCTGAACCCTTTCATTCCTTCTTTGTGCCTCAGGTGTGTGTAACAAATAAGAAGTCCATAAACGTTCTATAGTGGGGCACAGAAAAAGGTTGTAGCACTCTTCTCTTCTTTGACAAACATTACACAACCACATCATGTAAGTATAAATTTTGACAGTTCTGTTTCCTGAATTCTACTCCCTCCTTCTAAAAAAAAAAAAACCCTCCCATTAATCTATTTTAATTTCCTACAAAGAGTGAATAAATGAATATAAAAACACAGTACTGATTACCAGCATCTGTTAGATAGCCTCTGTTATGGTGCTTTGCTCTACAAGATGTTCTTTAAAAATCATCAATCATACTTTCAGCTGAGGAGAAATGCTAAAACCAGAAGGACTTTCTTATTTTCTCATGAGGGCTTATAACTGGAGTTTTTAGCAGCCATCCTTGCAGCCCCAAAAAGTCATTTTATTTTATAAAGGAATCCACATCAAAGATTTCATGCACTGTCAACACATTCTCATCATTGTTTGCCTACACTCTTTGAACTACCTCCTTTCAGCTACTGAAATATTAAAATTGTATTTTCCTCTGTTCTGTCAAAAAGTTGTGCAGCTTAACAGGACAGTATTCTATAGTTCCTGAACATTCTGTTCTCTCCAGAGAAACTGAAAGTGGGAATTAAATGCATTATTTTGTGAAAAATAACTGTGAGAATATAAAAATGATGGGCTTGCAGTAGCATGGAAAAGTGAAAAGGAAATCGTTATTCATTGTTTTTTCATAATAAATAATGAATGCTACTTATACTAAGTATAAGGTGAAATCAGACAAAGTTAGAAAGAAATACAAATAGAAATGTTTGGACAGATAATATAGCAATCACTGTCACAGGATACATTGGTATCTAAACTTTATATGGGTTCAGTTAGATAAGCTCCTGCAAGAAAATTATCACTGTCTATCCAACACAAAGATACAACCTCGGATTCAAAAGTTTCCCTGATGCAGAGGACATGGAAGGGTGTTACCAAGCAGGCAGGACCTTTCTGTCCTGTTTCTGCAGTTCCACAGGTTTCCATTCTCCAAGGAAAGCCAGGCTGAACTGACCCAGTGCAGCTGATTTATATGAAGCAATGCTCATGGATGAATTTTAACTAACTGCCCAAATCCAGTAGCTCAGTACAAGGCACAGAGAGCAGAGCCGTGACAGTCACACATGGGATTATGCATTTGAAATGTTTGAACTTAGCTTTAATGAACAGGTCTTACTAATTTGCTGATCAGTGTGATTACATCACTTGTTTGTTAAGCATTATGCTGTAATTAATAATGATGTGCTCTCACATCCCTTCTTCTGATACGGAAGGAAAATGTTCCTGCTTTACAGTTGAGTAGTCAAAGAACAGGGAAATCAGCCATTCCCCTTAAGATGGCCCAATTTTAAGGATATATTTGGCCAAAGATTTAAGCGTTCCAGGACAAGAGTTAAGAATCTAAATTACTAAAAATCAGTCAGAACTGTATTTGGAACACAATTATTCTATACAAGAAAGCTAAATATAAGCTAACCACTTAGTAAATACCACCAACACACTGTGACCATTCCTATACCCTCGGCTCGATGACAACTTTGCTACTAAGTCAGAACTTCTTCTACATGAACCTCATACTTGCACAGAAAGATAAGGCAAATGAAGGATTTCATGGGTTACAAAGATAAGACTCCAAACATAGGATTCAGATTTCCAAATGAGTAGTACATGAGTTCCTAAAAAGTAAAATCACAAATAAAAATATAATCCTGAAATTTTCTCATACCATGCATGTTTTAGTATATGCTTGGAAAATTTATTTTAGCCATTGGACTACAGGTATTTGCTACACAAAGTGCAGTAAGTACTTAGAAGATAAAAATCTTCATGGACTCTTCCAAACAAATATTTTGAACAGGTGTTTTTTGTTTTGATAGCAGAATTTTTCTAATCATTAGATCTCTAGACTTTTACGAGGCATCAGATATTTCATGATGTAAAATTTAAGAATTATACAAAAGTTATAGCCGCAGTCCCAAAAATATTTAAACCAAAATAAAATCCCTGGATGCTGCTGGTCCCAGAAGAGTCAATGAAAAGCTGGGAGTGATTTCACACTCACAATATGATTTAGAGTGATTTCTACAATAACAACTTCAGAGCTCTCATTGGGTTTGATCTAAAGTCTTATTAAGTTTGTGGTAAGGCTTATCTGTCTTCCTTGTCTTGGATTTTTCCTCTATTCAAACAGCAGTATGCTATATTGCTCTGTTTAAAACCTACTTCTTTGGATTCTCTTCATTCGTTTTTAAGGTATTTATAGAAACATCATCAAAAATTATTGTACAACTGCTAATAATGGACAAATAACTCAGAAACTCTGCCTTCCTAATATTTCCCACATTGCAGTTTTGATAGATCTCATATGACTAATCAATGAATTACTGAGCAGTTAGAAGAGTCGATGTACAAGTCACTTTTTAGAAGTGCTTATTTTAAAAACAAAGTACTAGTGAATCCAAGAAAACGGATAGAATTAACCCTCCTGTGTTCCTGAATGCTTTGTTGTAGACAAACAAAGACACAAGTATTCATCAAAGCCTTTACAAGAAAGAAAACCTGGCAGGAGGTTCTGACATTATGTCTGATCTACACCCCAAAATATTCACTTATAATTATTAGCTTATAATTAGCTTATTAACTTGTAATTAGCTTATAATTTTCTCCAGGAACACTCTCAGAGATACTCCTGTCTACATCTTCTAAAATAAACCTTAAAATAGACAAATACAGACCTGATCGCACTGGGATCATCTTAGAAAAGGTATGTGAGAAATTTTGAAGCTCTGGTCCTAGAAGAGCCATGATACAGCCATGTCCCTGTAGCACCAGGACTTTAGCAGTAGGAATATTTTATGTTAATTTTCATTATTAGCTCTTCATCACAATCCTATTCTTACATGTCAACGTGGGGGGTTTTGTACTGCAAAAAAAAATTAAATCCCATTAAAGTTCCAGACTGCCTCCCCCCACTGGCTCATGTATAGTGTCCAACAACATTCATAGCCCTTGGGCTGCCATGGCTCAGCTGCAGATCCTAGTTTATAACAAACAGATGCAAAAATGCATTGCTTCAAGGACACTGATGTACAAATGATAGTTTTGTCTAGTAGAAAACGCTACAATGTTTCAACACTTTAGGAGCTTTTATTTCATACTTCAATGGCAATGAAATGTTATGTTTAACTTTGAAGATCTTTCAAAGCTGTATATTCTTGATACAGGAATATTTGAAGAGCATCAGAGGAACAATGACTTTATTTACTATAAAAAAGGTGCTTTATATCAATTAAAATATTAAAATAAACAGAATATTACAGCACTATTATCCCAAATCCAAGGCAAAATAAATAAAATTAACCATGCTGTCATAGAAAGATGGATTGCTCCTGTCATGCTCTACCCTTAATATACCTGCAAAAGCAGCTATACTACCTGCATACCCCAAAATTCAACAGCTTCAAGTGAAGTGGAACACATCAGACGCCTTCCTTGAACAGTGGTGTTTCAGCACTGGAACAATGAGAGATCCAGCTTGTCTGCTTTTGCCAGTCCCTGAGAAGTGACCTACTTTTTCACAAAGATTAAAAAGCAATTATTTTAGAATAAAACGCTGTCTGACACTGAGAAGTAATAGCTAAATATTGTCAGTCTCATATAACATCTGCTGGAAGTGCCTCTGTTTAAGAAGCCCACTGCTGCATGCTACACCTTTCTAGATGGCTGAATACGTTCTAAATTAATTTAAACACAACAGTGTGAGTGAAACACAACAGACTCCTATCAGATCTACAACAGCACCAATGACTACACAATAAAAAATAAAATAATTATTCTGTATTAAGAGGATGAAAGAACAATCTCTTAGTGAGACAGAGGACTGTGGAAAAGAAAACAGGCCACACTAGCTCCCTCAGCTTAGAGAAACCAATCCTCATAAACTGGATTCTCCACAAGGGGCAGTTACACATTATCCACTATACTAACCCTTTTTCCCACTGGGAAACATCATCTTTATCAGTACAAAACTGACTTCTCAGCATCACTGATGCTGTGGAAACTGAAGAGGGATTTTGTTGAAGTTATGCAGTTGCACGCATATCTCTTTTGTCACTGTAATTCCCTACCTATTTTTTCCAATATTTAGAGCAGTGAGATTCAGCATATCAAAGCAAAGTCCCACCTCCTCCATTCCACACTATAAGCTGCAGCACAGGAGCTCTACCAGGACTGAAGAGTACAGGGTTAGATCTGCTCCAGAATGGTGCAGGCCTCAGTCCCCTGTG